CTAGTATATTTGCCAAGGCCCAGCTTTTACTGTATGAAGTCAGTGGTGCATGTGGCCAACGACCTGGGGGCACTGAGCAATTCTCGGACAGACACCTTCTGAATCATCAGGGATGAAGGGATGCTTTGCTCTCTGCGAGGCATAGCTGGGACAGTGGCACAATGGCACAGGTGAATGCGTAATCTCCATGTCGCAGGTTTTGTCATCTACTTTGGGACCCTTAGCACTAACCACCCAGGGCATCAATTAGGCGGGGTCATGCCAGTTTTACAGGTGATAAAACTGGGGTTTGAGAAAAAACATTGAAGGCTTTTGCTTTCCTGTGACTGATCTTTTCTGGAATTTAGTGGAGATTCCTTATCAGGCAAAGGCAATGAACTGGGGCCTTGCGCTCTGCTACCAGCCGCCAGGTGGGCAGCTGTGTCTGGCCCCTCTCTGCCTTTGCACTTGGCCTCCTCCACGCTTGGTGCCTCCCTGCCTCTCCGCTTACCTGGGTGGTGTCCCTCTCTGGGCTTAACTTTTACAACTATATTTACCACATTGTTTTTGAGGTGTTTTCAAGATCTCTCCCCTGGATTTAGCCTAAATCTCCATCATTTAGTTGCTGTGTGAGCCTGGGCAGGGGGTCTGCTGACCCGCTTTCCCTGAGCTTCAGTTTATTCATCTGCAAAGTGGGGCAATGATAAGAGTAGCTTGTTTTTTGGTGAGGTGCTTAGTAATTGCTCCTTCTAGCTATTCTTTCAGAATCTTGGACAGTGGGAACAGCTAAGAAAGACTTGAGCCCTTCAAGGGAAAGATTCAGAAGTCCAAATTTCCCTCCCACAGGCCGCAGAGAAGGCATTTTTAAGCAGGGGAGGTGGGAATATCCTAACCTCTCCCTTTTTACTTCACTGAATCTGATGGTGGGCCAGAGATGTCCAAGTGGCCCCTCCCAACTGCTTCCTGGTCATACCCTCCAAACCCTTTTGCCGCATTGTGAGTTTAATTAATGCAATTAACATTTACAAGGTGTTGTGAAATAGCTCTGTTGCTGGTGCCAGCCCGGAGGAAATGAATGAAATCACTTCTGAGCTTTATGGATGGGCTGGGGGCAGGGTGGTGTTCCAGGGCCACTTCTCTGAGTCTAATTGGGGGTGCCACTCACTTTTCTGTCTGTCACATTGCATTTGGACACATCTGACCTGGTTCAGTCTGAACGCAAATGCCCTTCACTAATGAGGCGCAAGGCCTTACAGGGAGAACCTTGAGGGTGATCCCTCCTCCCCCTGCTGCCCACCCCTCAATCAGGTGCTGAACTCCAGCCTCTGGGAAAGGGTCAGAGTTCACCCTGTGTCAGGAAGTTAGATCACCACCTCCTATCAAGGTAACACTCAGCCAGTACATCAGGTCCCTCAGCCAAAAAAACTGTAGCCCCTGGGATAGGATGGAGGATGGATTGCTGTAACTTGACAGCTCTCGTCAGCCTTGTCCTCCGTAGTTACAGGTACGTGCCCTGGGCTGCCTGGGCATGAGTCTTTGGTGCTGCCACTTTGTTGGGTGACTTAATTAATTCATCTGAGCCTGTTGAATAGATTGATAACAAGACCTGCCTCAGGATGAGGTGCTGCCTGCAACTTACAGTAGGAACCTGGGAACTGCTCCTGCAGCAGCAGAGTGAGTGGCAGGCGCAGCTTGAAGCCTGGTGTGCTGGCCACTCTGGAAAGTCCCATAGGAAGGTGCTGCCTCCTTCAGGGAGGTAACCCAGCTAGTTTATCCTCCAGCTCTGAAATGGTCCCATTAGGTAAAGCAGTTGGCTCATGTTGGGGGCCCACATTATTCTGGGGAATGCCAACCTTGGCCCAGGAGGAGCCGGATTGAGATAGGTGGGGTGAAGGAGATTTGTATCTATCGTTACACACCAGTCCCCTGTGCTAATGTCTGCCTTTTGCCAAGAGTTAAATTTGTGTGTTCTTGCTTAACTTCCTGGACTCAAGCACTTCAAGTCACATCAATCAAGTGTGTATTATGTTACTTCACCCACCTGCCTCAGTTTGCCCATCTGTAAAATAAGGACAATAGTCTTTACCACGTTTAAGGATTAAGTGAGTTCATACATGGGAAGCACACAAGGGGGCCTGTATCTAGTAAACACTGAAAGAATGACCATATTATCAGCTGAGAAGATTTGTATATTTAGCTGAGGAGGGCCACATTGTTACTGTGGGAAGCAGAGGCCTGTGGGAGAAACCTTCCTGGCTTTTGAGATGTGGCTTTTGAAATCTGAGTAATAAGGAGGCAAGTGGGGGGGAGATAGGAGGGCTTCAAGGCTGGGGGAACAGCAGCCGCACACACCTGGGGGCTGGCTTTATTTGTCTCTGTAGGACATGGACAGGGTGGAGGAATGGGCTGGGCATCTTTCAGTCTGGTGTGGGTTCTGCATGCTGTCGTTTGTTGTGACAGTAAGGCAGCCTGGGCAGTCAATGGCATGACAAACCCAGAGTGGTGAGAACTACAGAGAAGGACATTCTATGAAGTCATGTTGAATTATGCACCTGGAAAGAGTATTTTACTTGCCCAGCTCACCCCACGGCACCCGGGAAGCTGGTGACACTTGTAGCTGGTTGGGTTTTTTTCCCCCCAAATCTTCCTCCAGGGCCCACAAATGTGGCTCTAGAGACAAATTTCCCCTGAATGTTGAGATCCGACTTTGGGAAGGTGCTCTGCTCAGTGGTCCCTTGGGCAGGCTGGCAGCACAGGCCTTTGGGGAAGGCCTACGGTGGTTAATCATTACAGACCCTGGGCTGCAGGCTCACCTGGGCCTGTCTGGCTGATTCACCCAGTTAGAGGCCGTCTGAGGGAAGTCTGGGTCTCCCAGATGAGACAGAAGTCATGCCCTTTGATTCAGCATCTGGCCTGATACCAGCTCCTGATTAGAAACCTCATCTAGCCCTACCTCCTCCCGAGAGCTCCCCATGGACCTCCTGGTGTCTTGCTGCCCATGGCCCAGCTTCCCACCTCCTGCCAGGCCACTGGTTCCCTTAGTTCACTGGTTTGGCCTGGGGTGAAATACAGGAAATTAATTATTACTTTGAACCACACTCTAGCAGTTTTCCTGGGATTCTGGCTGCTTGGTCTCACCAGAGCTGGCCATAGGTCAGCTAGCCGGTTCTTTTTCCAGGTCAGGGCTTGGCCATCAATGAAAGGTGCTGAGGAGCAGCTGATGAGGCTGCCTTCCTTTTCCCTGGTGCTGGTGAGTGAGATCCCCCAACAGGTGTTGAGAAAACAGAAGAAGAGCTGTAAATACCACATTGTACTCTCTTTCAGTGTATACATTTATAACCAGAACAGTGCTTCGTGCAAGTTAAAGAACTTGCATGTTAATTACCCAGAGATCTTGGCAAAATGTCTATACTGATTTAGGAGGTCTAGGATGGTACCAGACATTCTTTAGTTCTAACTAGTTCCCAGGTGATTGATTCAAAGGGTACTGGTCCTTGGGCCATATGGGGAATGGCAGAGGTCTAGTTGCCCTATGCCCACTCCTGGGGTATGGGCAGTTGTGGGGGATGGAATTGGGATCCCCCAGTCATGTTGGGAATCCATATGAGGGCGCTGTAGGCCCTTTCAGGCAGAGTCCCACAGCGCCCCCTGGTGGGCACAGCGCCAGCGTCACCGCTGCAGCCTGGCAATCCAGATGGTGCTTCTAGAAGCTACTCTGGGGAGCTAGTAGCCTGGCACTGCAGGTCACCTGGCACCGCGGGTCACCTGGCATCGTGTATCATCTGTCACCCCATGGTAAGTCCCTGAGACAGGACTCGGGCCGGGAGTGCTCAGTGCCCACAGACATCCTTTGGTTGGGGAAGCTTTCCCAAGCTGGGCCCCAGGCCATGAAGCTGTGGTGCCAAATGCCTCTTGTGCTTGTTCGGGGAAACTAAGAAATAAGAGTCTGAGGCCTCGCCTTGCACCTAGGCTCTAATTTTGCCTTGTACCCACTTCTTAAGTGGGATTTTGACCGAACAGTAGGAAGGTCTGTGTGTCACTTTCCCTCTTCTGTAACATGGGCCCACAATGACATTGGGAGGAATGAATGGGAGAAGGGCTCTGGTTTGGGCTACCAACAAATGTTGCAGGCAGGGGGCCAGGTCGAAGTTCATTCACAAAGCCCTTGAACCAGTTTGTGAAGATGTGGCCTAAGCTGGTCTTCACTGAGTAAGTAGCCTAGTGATGATGCAGTCACCAGGAGGGGCAGCAGTGGGGAAACCAGGCCCAGAGTAGGGTGAGGCTGGAGCAGATGGGGGGCTTGCCCCTTGTTAACTGCCCCACTCCTTTGCCTGTGCCTTCTCATCCCTTCCATTCCTGGGAACTTGGGACTCTGAGCCCCAGCTGGTGAGGGAGGAGAGAGTGACAGGCAAGCAGACCAATGGGCCCCTGAGGTTGGGGTAAGGCGGGGCTTGCGCTGCCATGGAGAAGAGAGAAGCTGTTCTGTGGGGAAGGAGGGGGCGGTGGGAAGAGGACCTGGAGATTGAGGGGAAGGGAGAGAGCAAACAAAGGGGTCAGGAGGGAAAATAATGCACTGGCTTCCTGAGGCCCTGCAGAGGCTGGGCAGGGAGAAGGGACCAGGGGCAGAGGAGACCAAGACTGGCCGCAGGCCGGCCTGGGCAGGCTGGGGCAGGCGGGTCCTAAATGGCATTGTTTGAAGTGGCCGGCTAATTGCACAGAGCAGCCTGATCCTCAGACCAAGGCCCAGCCTCCTCCTCCTCTGTCCTGGGTGCTGGCTTCTGAGCCTTCTGGGCTGCCTGGCCACATGGAACCAAGTCCTGAGCCTCCGAGTTTGGTGAGGGGGGTAGGCTATGGGGGGGGCAGCCTGGGATGGGTCCTTGGAAGGAGTATCATCCCGAGAATTATTTCCTAGGGCCTCTCTTGACCTGAGGACATAGAGCCATAGGTGGGAAGTTTGGGGGTGCGCTGCACCCTCTAGCCCTTGCTTCACTGCTACCCTATTCATTCTGACCCTCCCGCAGGAAACAATGAAGGGAGACACCAGACAACTCAACAGAGAGGAGGATGCCAGCGGAAGGGAGGACTCCGTCATCACCAATGGGGGCTGCAGCGACCAGTCTTCCGACTCCAAGGACGCACCCTCGCCCCCCATCCTGGAGGCTGTCAGCACCCCGGAGATAAGAGGTGGCCGGGCATTGGGGAGGTGGGGTGGGACAGACACTGGAGCACAGCTGGGACGTGAGACTCCCTTCTAGCGGTCTGTAGGCAGGTGGTGGGGAGAGGGTCTGGTCTCTGACAGCCTCCACACCTCCCAGGAAAGCAGAGGCTGTGGGCAGAGCCAAGAGCATTTCTCATGCCCGCCGCAGCCCTTGACCTCCATCCTGTCCTCTCACTTCAGGTGAGACTCTGAGGAGGTGACCCCAAAGTGAGGATCGCTGGTTTTTCTAGTCACAGTATCAGCTGGGGTCTTTGGCTCTTCTGCAGTGGGACCCATCCCTTTGCGTGGGGTTGATTGTGCAGGAAGGAAAGTGCTCAGGCTGGAGGGGCTGAGGCTGCTTCACACCCTGCCTTCACCTCAGCAGTTCCCAAGTCCTGCCCACTGAGATTTTCTAACCCAACTGGTTAAAAGACCCTGTATTGTCTCCTCATCCTATTGTTGACAACTCCTTGAACTGTCCTGTCCCACAGAACTCGCTGCAAGGGTAAACTTGTTCTGTTTCTGGATTGTTCACTGCAGTAGCCAGTAGCCACAGGTGAGCACTTGCAGTGTGGCTGATGCGGGAGGCATGTGACTGCTCACGTAAGTGCAGGTAGAGGCCACCGAGTCGAGTGGCGCGGCTCCCGGAGGAATTTCGTGCCTTCTCTCCTGAGAACGTTTCGTGTCGTTTTGGGCCCTGTGACGTGCCTGGTCCTGTGAACCGTTGCCTTCTGAATACATTGAGGGGACGGTGGCCCTGAGTGTCTATCTAGTGGCCGAGCCCTGAGGATGCCAGTGAGTTTAGCGCGATCCCAGGCCATAGCCCAGCGAGGAGGCCACAGAGGGCTGGCCGCCCGTCAGCAGAGGAAAGACGTGGCTGCTGCCCAGCCTGGCTCTGCGCCTTCCACAAAACAGACTCCAGTTCTTTCCCCCACAGGCCGCAGATCAAGTTCACGACTCTCCAAGAGGGAGGTCTCCAACCTGCTAAGTTATACTCAGGTATGGGCACTACTCCGCCTTTTTAGGATTCGGGGGAATACCCTGTAGCTTTCATTAAACGGGGGGCAGGGGTACCCAAGGCCCACCTACATTGGTGCCCAATAAATACTTGTTGATGGTGAATGTGAGCACTGCCAGGCACACAGTGCTTTGAGCAACCTCACAGTCATATGCCCAGTTTTTAAAAATCAAACATTTATTTTACTAACTTACGGGGGTTTTTTTTTGACCAACTGCTTCCTGCATATTTTTTGAAATGTTTTTTTTTTTCAGTGTGGTTGATCAGTCAATCACACTGGTAAATTCCTAATGTAGCAAATTGTTCTTTTTTATTCCTGGAATTCGTCCAACTTCAACTTGGTCATGTTATGTTCAGAATTTGATTTATGTTTTGGCATCTATTTCATGAATGAAATGGATGGATGGTTTTATTTTTCATATCTGTCTGGTTTTGATGCACTTTGGAAAGAACTTGCCTGGCTTATTTTAGGGCATATTTTAGTAATCATTGCAGTATCAACATTTCTACTTGATCGTTTTTTTTCCAAGTTACAGTTTTTCCACTATAAAAAAAAATTCCTGACATTATTTATGCCTTTTGCCTTGTGTTAATCATCCTGGAGTTTTGTCAGTTTCCAAAGAACCAGTATCAGCAGCCATCAGGGACAAAATCTTGGATAAAAGTCACGGGCCAATGAAAGCCCACCCTTGTAACAGCTCCTGTTCCGGTGGGCACCCAGATGACAGAGCGGAGGCCGCGTGCTGGGTGGGAGGCCCAGGACAGCTGTCTCCGTGCGGAGGGTTACCAGTGAGAGCAGTGGCATCTCCTGTCTGAGCATTTCCCCCGTGCTGGCCTTGGGCCAGATGTGCGTGACTTCTAACTGCAACCCTGCTGCATTCCAGTTTTAAAGGGAGGAATGGACTTACTCAAGGCCATGCAATTGGCAGGTGAAAAGTCAAATTCTTAAGACTTGGGCCGTGCACCACTGCTCTTGTGCCTGCCCTTGGTTTTTGCTGGCTGTTGGTCTGCAGCATTGGACAGTCACGAGGGGGGGGGGGTCTTCATGACTTGACACAGTCGGCGCCATTTCTTCCTGGTCATTGTATGAAGATACGACTTCTCCCAGACCCTGAAAACGGACCGGTCTTCCTATTAGGCGCAGCCAAGTCAGCTGGCGGTGTAGACACAGCAGTCCTCACGATGCCTTGGAGCCATTTCTTTGGTGTTTCGGTTTCCCCTGGGGTTTTATCTTTCAATTGTGTCCTGAATTCATGATCTAGTGGTGGGAGCCATTGTGAGAGCTTTTCGGAACAAAATGAGGTGAAAATATGTTTAGATCTGTGGGACCAATATTATAAGTGTTTTCAATATGACTGTTTATTTTTTTCTCTCTCTCTTTTTAAAAGATTTTACTTATCTTTAGAGGGGAAGGGAAGAAGAGAAGGAGAGAAATGTTGATGGATGGTTGCCTCTCTTGCGTCCCCTGCTGGGAACTGGCCTGCAACCCAGGCATGTGCCCTGACTGGGAATCGAACCGCAGTCCTTTGGTTCTCAGGCCTGCGCTCAATCCACAGAGCTACACCAGCCAGTCTGACTGTTTGTTTTTAAATGATTTTAGTTATATGGCCTGCTAATGACACCCCGAAGCTCATAATGTTTCATTTGACAAAGGATTTGACGGGCGATGGAGATGAAGGGGAAGACGGAGACGGCCCTGACACTCCAGTGATGCCGAAACTGTTCCGGGAAACCAGGACGCGGTCTGAAAGCCCGGCTGTAAGTCCCCCCGCCCCCTTGGGCCGGGGCACCACCTCCAACCACTCATAGTCCTGCATAAAAAACATGTTTTGGATCTCCCGAGGCGGGCTTTAAAGAGAGAGGTGAACAGATGTTTTGAAATTGGAAAAACGACAACGCAGCCTGTGAACTAGCGTGTGAAGGTTTTCTTTGACATAGTCGTTTTTAAACGCTTAAAACACTCTTGGAAATGGCCAAGGGTGGCAATAGAGTTGGCAGGCGGTTGGCTCGGTGTCAGTTACCTACGCGAGGCCCTTCTGTGGGTGGATTCTGTGGCTTCGCGGTCCGGAAATGGGAGAAGGTTTATTGCTCACCATCAGCCAGCACGTTCGAGAGCTGGCTGGCGCTGGGTGACCAGTGCAGGCAGTTTATTTATAATCACACTCTGCTCTAGGATATGATGTGTATCATCCCCTTTTTTACAGATGAGAGAAGATTCTGGTAACTTACCCACGGTCCAACATTAACTCTTGTGTAGGATTCAACACAGGTCTGCGACCAGCCCCCAAGAAGCCCAAGTGCTTCTCATCCATTTGAGAGATTCAGTACCTTCCAGAACAATGCAATAATTACTCTATAACGCTTTTTGGGAAAATCAATGTTTGGTTTAAAGTAAACTTGGTTCTTATTTTTCCATTGAATTTGCAGGTGCCAGTTGCAGCTGTGACAGGCAGTGGGCTCTGCTGTGGATTGTCTGTCAGCCCGGCTGGTTTCCCTAACCCCCACTTATCACAGACACGGGGATTCTCTGAGTGGGGAGTTAACCAGTCTAGAGTGTCCCTCCCACCCCCACTTAGCTACCTCACGTACTCCTGTTGACCTGAGGCCACCTCTCAAGTCCAGGCTCCTCGGCCCCTGCCTGAGACCTCGTGCCTGCAGTCACCAGAGCCCTCGTGCTTATCCTCTCTTGCTTCCAGGTTCGCACCCGAAATAGCACCAGTGCCTCTAGCCGAGAGAGGTACAGGCCCTACCTACGTTCTACCCGAGGCCGGCAGGCCCGCAATCACGTGGAAGAGTCCCCTGTGGAGTTCTCAACTACCAGGGTTTGTTCCCCAGACACCTAGACCCCTGCCCCTGTCTCTGACTGGAAGAGTTTCTTCTCACTGCACCACCGAAAGCAGCCGGTGTATAACCCTAACCGCTTCTGTTCTTCACACTCCTCTCCTTTTCAGGATCTTGCCTTTCCTTTCTCTCCGGGGTGCTGGGTAAGCTTCTCTTAAACCTGATGACTTCTCTCCTGGCCTGATCCTGGATGGAACTGTGTCAGGAATGCAAGAATTACCTGTTGACTGGGTTCTTGCCCCTCCTCGGAAATGAGCTCGAAAACCACTGACTTCCACAACTGCCTTGTCTCCCTGGTCTCCTCACTGACTGTCTTGAGGCAGCCACAGGGGTTACCACAATTCGCCACTCCTGTTGCAGGTTGGGCACACAGTGGAAGCACTTAGGAAGTCAGTGGTCCTCCGAGCTTGGTTCTGTGAGCCTCTGGGCATCACTCATCATTGTTACGCCTTTATCCTCGACTCTCGGTTTGATGGAAGTGGCTTTCTCCCACCACTTCAGGGATACTTGGTCCTGGAAAAGCATTCTTAGTGGTCTCTGTACCCTCTAACATAGGTCTCCTCTTCTTCTGCTGGCCTGGGAAGCAATTGGGGGTGCCACTGGTCTCTGACCTTTTGTCTGGTTTGCTGTGGCCCCAGCTATGTGTCCTTCTGTCCACAGTCCCTGAGGCGGCGGACAGCAGCCTCGGCAGGCACACCGTGGCCATCCCCAGACGGCTCCTACCTCACCATCGACCTCACAGATGACAGCGTGGTGCCCCAGAGCAGCAGTACCCCCTACACCCGCCTGGCCCAGGACAGCCAACAGGAGAACTCGGACTTCCCCCAGGTGGATGCAGAGGGCAGAGATGCAGACGGCACCGAGTATCAGGTACGACTAGGAAGGGCTGGATTTAGGAGAAAAGCAGGCTTGCCCAGAGGGGGCTGTTAATACACTATTTTTTCACTTTTGGCATAATGTTTGAATTCAGGTTTGTTTTTCGCATGTGTCACCGTTCTTTACCCTCCTTATCTCCCAGGCATATCTCAAGCACCTGATTCATGATTTTTCTGAACATTATATATTTATTGGACTTTGTATGCATAACATATTATTCTGTCCACCCTAGTATACATACAATTGTTGATTGGTGTTTTTCACTAATTAGGAACTAGAGTTGTTCCTTTTTCATGCCTGTAATTTCATTATATGATATAATCCATCTAGTTTTCATAATTAACAAACTGAGTGGGTTATTTTTTAAATTTTATTTTTAGGCAGAGGGGGAGGGAGGAAGAGAGAGGGAAACATCCATGTGTGGTTGCCTCTCTCATGCGCCCCCTACTGGGGACCTGACCTGCAACCCAGGCATATACACTGACTGGGAATTGAACCTGCTCAATCCACTGAGCCACACCAGCCAGGGCAACAAACTGAGGTTTTAACTCAAGCATTGCTACATATCTAATACATATGTATGCACATATATCGTGTAGAAATTCTTTTTTGTATATACATTACTTCAGGGTAGATGGTACTGTAGATACATTAACTTACTTCTTTTCATGGGTACTTCATATTTTATGGCAAGCTATGTGCAAATGGCTAAATTTATGTGTTTTCATTTCATTGGCTTTTGATAGCCCATCTGATGGTTTGTGGTGTGACTGTGCAGCTGGTTATTATTAGTTTACTCTGATCTTATTTCCTGTGAGTTTTTAGTTGACATCTTTCATTCCTAGATGCTAAATGAATTGTTACAAATCTATTATAATAAACCCCATGTTCCTATAAAGCAATCAGTCCTGCCCAGCCACTGCCCCTTATTTTTAAGCGATCCTCACTCACAGTTTCGCAGTGTTGGAGGTGGGTAGGTAATTTCCTCAGGAGGTCTCCTGGGCACTTGAAGGAGGCCCTGAGTTGGGGCCCTGAGGCGGTTGCCCTTGGGGTCCGTGGGCCAGGCGGGAGTTTTCCTTGGCCCAGGCAGTTAGTCAGTCTCATTAGGATTCCTTCATGTGGTTTGTCTTCCAGGATGGGAAGGAGTTTGGAATAGGGGACCTCGTGTGGGGAAAGATCAAGGGCTTCTCCTGGTGGCCTGCCATGGTGGTGTCTTGGAAGGCCACCTCCAAGCGCCAGGCCATGTCCGGGATGCGGTGGGTCCAGTGGTTTGGCGATGGCAAGTTCTCCGAGGTGAGTCCAGGGGGAGGAAGGCTCTCGTGCGCCTGCCAACCCACAGCGCTTTCCGTCCTTTCCTTTAGGATATCAGCCTGTGACTTGCTTTTTCCAGATGGGTGAGGCTATGTTTGACTCTGTGTATCTAGGAGGAATGACAAATTTTCCCTCATTAATTTGCTTAAACAGACACACAGCATCGTATGGGGCCCAAAGCTTGGCCTACGCTCATAGGAGACAGAGCTGGAAAGTCCTCTGGGTCCACAGCCACTCGGTTTTCTTTCTCTGGGACAAAAATGGAAGGGTGGCCTCACTTTAGCCCTGGAGAGGTACCTTGACTAGTTCTGGAGATGGGGCCTGGTGACAGTAATAAAAAGCTTTGCAGAGTTGGTTATTTCAGGGTTTCTTGATTATTGATGTTAGCCATTTTAAGTTCCTTTCTCCTGAGAGTCAACCCCGTAAGAGCGGTGTTAGACAAATGAATTAGGTTGTTTGATTCTTATGCCAGTTTGAAGGCGCAATCTGAAATCTCTAGACATCGATTAGAATGGTGCAGACAATCGTTTCTCTGTGACGGTCTCTTTTGGAAATGTCCGTCTAACCTTCACTCAGTGTGCCCAGAGGTTAGGTGAGGACACAGCAGGTTGTTGGGCCAGGACGGAGGCAGATGTGGGAATGAAGAACTATCTTGCACATTTGTGGGATTTGACCTCCAGTTCAGGGTCTGGTTTTCCTATGAATTGGGCTTCCTCTGGACCATTTGCCGTAAACACTGACGTTCCCAAAGGGCAAGTCTCCCTGCATGCTGATGTCCTCATTGGCCAGCAGAGGGAGCAAAAGGACAGATAAATGTCCAGGCCTCTCTTTCCCCTGAAGCATCTAAATGCTGGGGTGTGGTTTCACATGTATTGTTATTGCTTTGGCTCAGTGAGACCTTTGCAAGACTGGTCCGATGCTGATAAAATTGAAGTGTGAGGCTGTTAGCATTATGGGAGGGGCCTGCCGTAACTGGTGCTGAGCACGCATGTTGCGTTGGGGCAGTTTGGCATTGGGAAGAGCACCTGCATTTCAGTGCACAACTGCATCGAGCCCAAGTTTCTTCTCACCAAAAATGGGAACACCCTCCTCGTGGGAGGTCAGACTAGAGGTGCAAAATGGGGGTGAGTGTGAGCACATCCTGCGGAGAATGAAGCATCTCATGTGTCTTTCTGTCTGAACCGCACCCCAGAACACCCTGTTATATCCCTTCCGACTGGCCTGGGGACCTGGGGAATGAAACTTGATGGGTCTTTCTTTAATCCTTTGGTTCTTAGACCAGCACTCCATCCATTAAGCCACACCAGCCAGGACTTGGATCTTTAATCCCAGTGGAAGGCAGATATCAGCAAAACACAATGACAGAAACATGCTTACTCTATGCCAGGCACTGTCCCTTAAACCTGTACAATAAATTAGTTCCAATTAGTAAAAGGCTAAGTAGTTAGCATAGCTATTTGTCACCCTCAGGAAGGAGGGAAGAACATAGACAAACACTAATGTTGGAACATCCAGAATTTGAAGTTGACCCGCCAGGGGCCCCAGGGACCATGTGGGTCATTTGCTCTTAAAACATATACAAATTCAGTGTGCATCTAGTTCTTTCCACTCCCACTCAGAGCAGTGCACTTCTCACACTGGGAGTATCATCCGTGCTTCTGGCTATAGGGCACATCAGGAGTATATGTACCCTTTCTGTTTTCTCCTCTTTCCTTTTCCTGTTTTTTTTTTGAATCGGAACTTGATCACCTGGAATAGCCCCGTGAGAGGCAGGACATCCCAGACACAGGCTGTAGGTAGATGTTGATGATGTCTTTCTCTTTTAGGTCTCCGCAGATAAGCTGGTGGCCTTGGGGCTATTCAGCCAGCACTTTAATCTGGCGACCTTCAATAAGCTGGTCTCTTATAGGAAGGCCATGTACCACGCTCTGGAGGTAACACAGTGGTGGGTGGTGAGGACCTGGCCCCCAGAGCAGGGTTAAGACCAGAGACAACACAGAAAGCCAGTCCAGGCCACAGTGTTGTAACCCTTGGAAGGGTCACCAGGCAGGAGGTGAATGCATGTTGGTCTGATGGGCCAGACTGAATGGAGCGATGGGATCTGAGACTCCCTCATGACTTTTTAAAAAAGATTTTATTTTAGAGACAGGGGAAGCAGGGGAGAAAGAGAGGGAGAGAAACAGCAGTGTGTGGTTGCCTCTCATGCGCCCCCTACTGGTGACCTGGCCTGCAACCCAGGCACCTGCCCTGACTGGGAAGCGAACCAGTGGTCCTTTGGTTCGCAGGCCGGCACTCAATTCACTGAGCCACACCAGCCAGGGCCTTCCTCATGACTTCAAGTACTACCTTAGTTCCACCTAGTGGTTCTTAGTATTGCCGACTGAATGAGGAAGCAGGAAGTGGTGGGCAATGTTTGTAACAGTGAATGGGTTTTTTCCAGAGCCATCAGAACTTCTTCCTTTAAGTGGTATTGTTCAGGGCCAACAGTGGGCAGGAGCTGAGGCCAGCTGCCTCTTCCCTTGTCTGTGGGATTCGTCAGGCTCTATCTCTCCTTTCCTTTATCTTGACTTGAACCTTTGTCGAGCATTTATGAGCCAGCCTCAGTGCTTAATCAGGAATCCTCATAGACCTTTTGAAATAGGACTTAACACTGGACACTTCCTCATCTTCATTAGGGAAATGAGATAAGAAATCTGGAGCTTTTTCATAGTTGATGATACTGCTCCTATATTTATAAGTAGCAGAGCTAATTCTGATCCTCCGCCCTTTGAGAGGGAGCTGACCACTCAAGTTCTCTACAGGGAAGAAGTCGTATTTGGTGTTTGCATGGAGACTTCACTCTTCCCCTGTAGCCTCCTGCCTGTCTCCTCCCTGCACAGGCCCCACCTCCCTGACTCATGCCACACCCAGGACAGCTGCCTGGCTGTGAAAGGGCGCAGTGTGAAGGGGAATGCCAGGCCCCAGCTGGGGGAATCCCTGGGTACTGCCTGGGGTGCACCCACCCCTCCTGTTCATCACAGACTCGCCTTTATCTCACCAGAAAGCCAGGGTGCGGGCTGGCAAGACCTTCCCCAACAGCCCCGGAGACTCGTTGGAGGACCAGCTGAAGCCCATGTTGGAGTGGGCCCATGGGGGCTTCAAGCCCACCGGGATCGAGGGCCTCAAACCCAACAACAAACAACCAGGTGGGAATGGGTCCCTGTGGGAGCCCCCTTGGGAGACGCAGCCACTCCTGCTGCTCCTCGTCCCACCCCAGCTTTGTGACAACCAAAGTCCAGAGACTTACTCTTTCACCCTGTTGTGAACTCCCAGGGCTCTGGGAGAACGAACGGCCCAGGCTCTCCTGGCTTCCTGGGCTGAGATTGATTCCGCTGTGAAAACTTTAGTAGTAAAACAGATCAAGATGGAATCTTCACTCTAGCACCTTTACATTTAAAAGGAAAAATATAATTAAGCTTTGCTCATTGGAGAAAACTTTCCAAGTATTGTTAGAAAGCGCACACACACACACACACACACACACACACAAATGGAAAACCAGGAGCCACCTCCATTCAGAAGGAAGGGATCACCCATCTTAACATTCTGACCAACGGCATCTTTCCTCCATTATAAGACGTATAGTTTCACATTGACACTTTCCAAAATCCGGGAGGCCCAAAACCCAGGATTTGTCTTATGGTTCGTACATTTAACTTAGTGTTTTCTGTTTTGTTTTGTCTTCTTCCCCGGCCATTAAAAGTGGTTAATAAGGCGAAGGTGCGTCGTGCAGGCGGTGGGAACTTAGAATCGAGGAGATACGGTATTCCCTTCCCGTCTTTCGGCTGTGCACTGTTTTCTCTGCACTTTTCTTTCAATGTCTTTGCATAAACAGTGGTCACTGGAAAAGACCTCTCAGCCTGAGCCCCTCCACCTGCTTCACTCTCAACCGTCACGAGCCTCCGTCCAGGTCAACCTTGTTGGGTGTGCACGTCAATCATTCCATCTCTTTCTGCACACTCGTTGGATTCCTGCTTTCCTTTTATCTCTCAGTATGAATTGTATAAGCACTGTCAAATGTCATTTTGTCACTAAAGAGTCCTTATGGTTTTTAATGGCTGCATAAGTTTCTTTCCTAGGGGCAGAGTCAAACTTAACCATGTCCCTTATAGATGCCACTTGTACAGACTGACAAGAAATACAGGTGGAATTTGAAGAAATGTAAAGAACTGCCACATCATGTAATTTAAAAAATGTTCTAATAGCCACATTGAAAAGAGTAAAAGAAAGAAAGGTGCAATTAGTATTAACCATGCATCAAATTTAATCCAGTATTTCCAACATTTAAGCATTTTCAACAGTCAGTATAAAAATTAAGATATTGTACATTTCCTTTCAGTAATATTTTCAAGATCTCATGTTTTATGCGTTTTATATCATCTCTTTGGATGCGACACTTTTGTTAGAAATACTTGATATATATTTTCGCAGAATGTTTTAAGTTCCAAATTTTCACTTGACCCAGTTCCAGTTGAACTAATCAATTGGATCAATCAGCAATTTAAGAATTTGCATTCAAATTGCATGTGACATGCAGTCCCTCAGCCATTTTATGTGCTTGGGGGCCACCTCTGGCCGCCCGCCCCTGTGCTGCGCATCACAGACCAATGTTTCAGGGTTTCAGCTGTGGATTCTTTGTGCTGGGTCTAAACATCTAAAGCTGCTTAAAACCCTGTAAAAGAGTTCAATATGGGTGTTTTAAAGTACACTGCGTAGTGGGGCTGCATGGCACCCAGTGTGGACCCCTGTCATGGGCCAAAGGCAGCTGGCACCCAGGCCCGTGTTCCCCCTGCGCCTCCTACCAGCTGTGGCTGTCATGTCCTTCGCTTTCACAGAGAACAAGACTCGGAGGCGTGTAGCTGACGACTCGACCACCTCCGCTGACTACTGCCCCCCACCCAAGCGCCTCAAGACAAACTGCTATAACAATGGCAAAGACCGAGGAGAAGAAGACCAGAGTCGAGGTGAATTGTGGGGGGTGAGGAGGCTGGGGCACTGTTGTCACCCATTACTAGGAGCGGCCCAGGCTGTGAGGACCGCTCAGCCCTGGAGTCGGCTTCATTGATCAGTAAGGGTTCCTGACCCTGTCTCACACCTTCTTTTCTCAACAGAGCAAATGGCTTTGGATGTTGCCAGCAACAAGAGTAGTCTGGAAGGTAATGCTTTCTCCCTCCCAGTGCTGCTTGCGTCCCGTTCTTGCTTGTCTACCCCACGGGGGCTTAGCCCAGAGCTCTGTGCCTTCACTTCAGGTTCCCGAGTGGACATCGTCACAGTTGTCAGTTACGTTTTATAGAATGGCTTACCCGGTTTTTGCTGAGACTGATTCTGCCCCTAACCTAAGTGAGCAGGGAGGGTGGGCTGAGGGCAGAGTGGAGACTAGGCCAGGAGGACCCCAAACCTGGAACTGGGATCTGTGGCATCGTGAGCCTTCCCAGACAAGCACTGGCCCAGCTTCGAGGTGAAAGGCTCGCACACTGCGTCACAGTCACTCTCAGCTAACTCGTCCCTTTGTCCCAGCTGGGAATTGCCACTGGAATCAAAACTCTGCCCAAAACGTTTTCTAATGGGATTCAGGGTGTTGGGGAAGGATGGACTCCTTGCTTCTTCTACCCAATGTCCTTCGGTCAAATATTTATTGAACATTACTCAGTGCTGGCTAGGAAAAAAAAAAATCCAGCTCCCGACCCAGACAGCCACAGGGAAAACTCAGGTTTGGAGCAGCCCCTGACAATTCTGAGAACCTTGGCCCATGATTCTCCCGTCCCCAAAGACTCTTTTGCCCATCTGTCTGCTTGCTGGCTGGGGACGCTCGGACTTTGAAACGTAAAGGCTGTATCCATCTGTTCAGTGATGTGAATCAGTCCTGACCTGCCGATAAGAAGGGAAGCCAGAGCAGCCTAATAGTTAAAGACCTGGGTTCTGAAATTACAGCTGTGGCTAACTGTAGAGTGAGTTCGTGGGGATGTCCTTTCATGGAATGGCAGTTAGCAAATGGGCATCACCACGAACTGTCCAAAGTCCTAGTCTTTTTAGAGTCTCAGAGATGTTTGTACCGGGCCTCCCAAGCCTGTCCCTGTGCTGGAGAGGCCTTTGCTCAGTGTCGTGCCCCATGTCTGGAGTGGGGGTGGTGACTTGGAAGCTTGTTGAAAAGAAGGCATGAAGAGTCCCTGGTTTATTGCTAGTGTGGAATATATGTTCAGGAACATTAGGCCCAAGGCTTCTGCAGCTGGCATTGGGCCCTGACCTGTCACAAGCTGCGTGTGTGTCTTTGTTACAGACAGCTGTTTGTCCTGTGGTAGGAAAAACCCTGTGTCCTTCCACCCTCTCTTTGAGGGTGGGCTCTGCCAGACATGCCGGGTAAGTCCTATCCCCACCCTTGACTTCCTGCCCCTTCCTGCCTCCATGACTTCCCTGTACCTGCCAGAGAAAAGCACCTGCATGTAGCCATTAGGGAAGGTTCTAGTGAAGCCCTCCCTGGCCCCCATCACCACACTGTCCACTCCAAGGGCAGGAGCTGCCACACAGGAGGCCATCTGCAGTGGCACTCACACGCTGGGCCCTCCTTCCTGGAAGGGGCGCTAAGCCACCAGCGACCTGCCCTGTAACTGCGTCCTAAGGCCTCAGCCAGCAAGCAGGCGGGGCCCAGGGTGCCTGGTCTCCTGTGTCACCAGTGTTTCTCTCTGGCCGCCAGGACCGGTTCCTCGAGCTGTTCTACATGTACGACGACGACGGCTACCAGTCCTATTGCACCGTGTGCTGCGAGGGCCGCGAGCTGCTCCTGTGCAGCAACACGAGCTGCTGCCGGTGAGTGTTCAGCGTGGGTGAGACTCAGATGCACCCCAAGGCTCCCAAGTTGTACCTGTGATTCCTACAGCCCCAGAGGTCCTCCTGGCACAGGGGCTGGGAGCCAAAGAGACCTGGGACAAGGCCCAGTCACCACTCTGCAGGGATTGTGGTTCTCGCGTGTTTAAGACAGGCATGTCTGAGGGTGGGGAGCAGGATGTGCAAGGCTCCCTGCAGATTAGCCACTTCTGTGGGGGAAGATGATTTCTGTGCAGAGCCTGTGGACTGACGGTGCACAGGTGTCCAAGGAAGAGGTTAGTGTAGCCCGCATCACACCACAAGACCTACCAGCCCATGGGGAGGAGCAGCTGGGTTCCCAAGAAGGTTTTAAGCAGTGCGTTGCTGTCTGTGTGGGGGAGGGGGGTGGGTATGTAGGAGGAAGACTGATGCCGAAGGCCTCTGTTCTCTCCTCTCCCGGGCGCAGGTGCTTCTGTGTGGAGTGCCTGGAGGTGCTGGTGGGCGCAGGCACGGCAGCAGATGCCAAGTTGCAGGAGCCCTGGAGCTGCTACATGTGCCTGCCTCAGCGCTGTCACGGGGTCTTGCAGCGCCGGAAGGACTGGAACGTGCGCCTGCAGGCCTTCTTCACCAGTGACACGGGTCTCGAATATGTAAGCCTAGGCTCTTTTGCCCAGCACCACCTACCCCAGAGTGTCAGGGATCTGGAAGGCTCTGGAGGTCTGTTGACAAGAGTTCTTGGAAAGGTCCATTGTACAAATGACTGACTTGCGACCCGGCTGATTGGCACGTTCTGTGTGCAGCCCTCAGGCTTCTCCAGTGCTCTTCCCTCCCCTCCTTCCTGGCTTCCCCCGTATTTTCAAGGGCCTGCTGAAGAGAAGCCTGTGGCTGACGGTTTAATTGTAGTGGGAGTGGGTATTCCAGGTCTGTGTGGCAGGCCCCAGGTCATTCCTGTGCAGAGTGATGTGTCCTTCCGTGTGTGTGTGTGTGTGCGCGCGTGCACATCTGTCTCTCAAATTCTCTGTTTTCCATGTCTTAAGGGTAGAATGGCCACTCTGCCAAAACTCACGAGGGGATCCCAGCTAAGATATGGCAGAACACAGGGTTTGAATCCCTCAGAGCAAGGTCAACTCACTCCTTTCCCAGAGGACAACCCTTCCCCCTGCACCTTCTCCTCCATGACCTCCTTAACCTTCTCTAACCTGGCAGGAAGCCCCCAAGTTATACCCTGCGATTCCTGCAGCCCGAAGGCGGCCCATTCGAGTCTTGTCCCTGTTTGATGGGATTGCCACAGGTGAGTTCGGAGTTCACCTTGGGATGCTCACCTGGTCCAGGTGTCTGTCCTCAATGGCAAGCAAGACTCCTGGGATTATCTGTCTGTTACCTGTTCTGAGAAAAACCACTGGCTTCTTGTTCACCTGCCTGGCCATCTTGGTCCTTTTTAAAGTCATATAGACGTATTTTAGCTGTTGCAGGTTATTTTTTAGTTATGTGCAGGTACCTTGGAAAGTTATTTTTTTATGCCATAAGTATAGATACATTAGAAATTAGTTGACAACTCTTCTTACTAATATCGCCATTCCCCTGGTTTCCACGTGGGTAGAATGAGCACAGCCAATGTGCATGTCATCCTTGGGAACTTTACCTGACTTAACCCATTTCATCCTCAAAATTGCCCTGTGATGTTGTCAGGAATGTCTCCCTTTCATCAGAGTGGGAGGCAGTGGAAATGCACTGCTGTGCACTTAGCCTCATGGCCTCATTCGTCCTTGTGTGTGTCCACCAGTGTCCACCTGCCCAAATCACTGACAGCTTTTAATGACTCTCAGGTCAGGACCAGCTGCTTCTTTTCCCCACCCTGTTGGGTCCTAAAGACCCATTCACGCTGGCACAGGTAAACCACAGTAGAAAATGTACTCGGTCCCTGTCCCCAGACTTTGAGGCTATTTAATAAACATGGCTTTGGTGCAGATTCCCGTCCTTGTGTCTGCGTTTGACTGTGCTCGGCCACTGGCTGTAGACCCATCTGTGTTAGTAGGTCCTACCAGTGGGCTGTACCAGTTGATAACTACGTCTGTTCACAAAACTCCATGCCCCGGAGAGCCTGCGGTTTTAGTGCCGTCTGCATGGGACCCTGGAGAGCTACCATGTCCTTGTTGGGTCTGGTCTAAGTTCTGGACTGGACTGAGAATCCCCGAAGGCAGGATGACCCCGAGTGCATTTTCTGTCTCCCCAACCCCACAGGGTACCTGGTCCTCCGAGAACTGGGCATCAAGGTAGAGAAGTACGTCGCCTCTGAAGTGTGTGAAGAGTCCATCGCTGTTGGCACTGTTAAGCATGAAGGCAATATCAAATATGTGAATGACGTCAGGAACATCACAAAGAAAAATGTGAGGGCAGCCTGCATCTCTGGGGGCTCCAACACTCTCACCTCCTCCATCCAGGCCCCGACCGAGCCCAGCACATTCTCACAACCTTGCTGTCCCCTTCCCCCTGTGCAGGGTGGTGGGAAAGGAGAACCTGTGGTCACATCAGGTGTCCTTTCTTGGCAGGTTACTTGTAACCCAGGCTGTCAGCCCTCCATCCTCACTCCCTCCCCACCCCTGAGACTATTTCTCTCTCCCAGATTGAAGAATGGGGCCCCTTTGACTTGGTGATTGGTGGAAGCCCATGTAATGATCTCTCAAATGTGAACCCTGCCAGGAAAGGCCTGTACGGTGAGTATCCCTGCATTTTGATCTCCTAAGGAGACCCTGTGTCTCCTGCATGCTGGTCCAGGAGTGGCCTGAGGAGGAGCTGTTTGCTGCTGGCCAGGCTCACCTGTCAGCTCGATCCCTGTCATGATGTGAATCCCCAGTCCCCAGAGATAGGTGAAAATGCTGCGCTGCCCGATGCCCATGTCCTTAGTCTGGAGGACTGCGGGTGGAGGGGCCTGGGCCCTAGGGTGCAGCCTCAGTCAGGTGATCGCTGGGGCCCCATTTCAGTGTGGAGGGGTGAGCCGATGGGTGCAACCCCAGCCACTGTCTTCTTCTGTGGGCCCAGAGGGCACAGGCCGACTTTTCTTCGAGTTCTACCACCTGCTGAATTACTCGCGCCCCAAGGAGGGTGAGGACCGGCCCTTCTTCTGGATGTTTGAGAACGTGGTAGCCATGAAGGTTGGCGACAAGAGGGACATCTCTCGGTTCCTGGAGGTGAGGGGACCTAGGGTCCTACCTGGCCAGACTGCATGGGAGGGGAAGGGTTGGCGGGTGTTTCCACGTTGGGAATAATTCTGGGTTTTCGACAGGATTGGCTAGGTCTGAGTAACGGAGTCAAGTGGGTTGATTCTCTTGTTCAGTCTCTTGGTTCAAATTTTTTTTTTAACATTTTTCTGTTTTTTAGCTTTTATTTATTTGTCTTTAGAGGGGGGGGAAGGGAAGGAGAGAGGGTGAGAAATATCAATGTATGGTTGCGTCTCGTGCGTCCCCTGCTGGGAACTGGCCTGCAACCCAGGCATGTGCCCTGACTGGGAATCGGACCGCGGTTGTTTGGTCCGCAGGCCCGCGCTCAATCCACTGAGCTACACCATCCAGGGCTTGGTTCAAATATTTTTGAAAAAAGATTTGATCTCTAAATGCATCTGGAACCCACTGAGGTCAGAGATGATGAAACCATCACTTAGTTTTGTAGGCCTCGGGAGATTTGACTAAGCATTTTTACTCGAGGGAGTTTTTTCTCATCCTTGTTCCAAGAACTGCTTCTTTAGGGCCACAGGCAAGCTCATTATCCACTTCTTAATATGCACCAAGCACTGAAGTAAATATTTTTCATGCACATTCCTTATTTAATTTTCCCCAAAGCTTTACAGCCTGAGTTCTGCTAGAGAGGTTATAGAACCTGCTAGTTAGTTCTGTCCTGCTGCGTGAACCTGGCCGATGGTGGCACAGGGCATATTCTGCCAGCACTGCATTCCTACAGCCAAGAGCTCGACTTGCTGAGTTGCTTTTGAGCTGTTTCTGCTGCCTGTACATTCCATCACAATCCGGCATGCCCCGATGCCTTCTCAGAACCTGTGGGTTGGATCTGGTCTCTTTCCTTATCATTAATATGGGAAGTGGTCCCTTAGCCGGACCCCCAGCCAGATCTTACTGGGTTGGTCCCTTGGCTGGCAGGAGTCATAGCCAGGAAGCAGCCCTGCCACCCACCTGGGTAAAGTCCCCACTCTGGCTGCTTCCTGGATTCTGATGTGGGTCTCTCCTGACAGTGTAATCCAGTGATGATTGATGCCATCAAAGTGTCTGCTGCTCACCGGGCCCGCTACTTCTGGGGCAACCTGCCTGGGATGAACAGGTAACAAGGGGCTCCAAGAGGGACAGGTAACAGCCAAGTGAAATGCAGCTAATGGTGTGAGCCCTGACAGGTTTACTCTTGTGAGACAGAGAAGTGGCCCCACCCTGGGCTCCAGACCAGCCCCTGGTGTTATGGGTTGATATCTGTTAAGATGTACAACCACCTGGGAATCTTGGGCCAAGACGCCTCAGTCTGCTCCAACTTGTTTTCTGCGCTTCCTGGGGCCCTGGTTCTTCCAGTGCCGTGCGCTGGCACTCATGGGCGTCTTCTCAGCCAGAGGTGCCGATCCTCTCTACCCCCCTCTTCTCCCAGTTGCCTGTCCTACTGGGAAATGAAAGGAGATGGTTAGATATGCCCTGCTCCCTGAGATGAAGGAACCCCGGACCAGCCTGTGGTGACCGGGCAGGTGGCAGAGCTGAGATGACCATCGGTAGCCCAAAGCCTGTCTCCCTTGGTCTTTCTTAACCAACAACCTTCCCCAATTTTTCATCAAAGCAAGTTACAGAGCATCAATTATCTTCTATGTGTGGTTTCAGGGATGTGTGGTATGCTGATTAAGATCCAAAATGTGATACCCCAGATTCGCAAATCAGTTAAGCTTGAAAGTATTCTCCCTTAGAAGGGGAAGTGTTTGAAGCATTGATTTTTGACATTTGGTAAAATGTGGATGGAGGTGAGAAGGTGCTTGGAGTAGCTTGGAGGATTTTTTTTTTTGGTATATTGCATTTTTATTTAGCTGATCAGTCAAATGGTATAGTGCTGTGTTCAGGGTAAAATGGGCTCATTCAGTCAACACTTGAGCTCTCACTCTGTGGCGGTCACTGTCGTACCTGCTGCCAATTGCGTGGTTAACGTGTCAGAGTTGCATCTTGTCTCGTGGAGTTGACATGCTAATGGAGGATGGGGAGAGAAGACAGTAAATGATTTCAGGGCCATGGCTGGAGGGGGCTGCGCATTGGGAGAGTTGATGGGGAAGGCTTCTCATGTCAGCAAGGACCTGACTGTAGAAATGGAGCCATAGTTATTTCAGGCGACATTCTAGGAAAAAGAGGACAGGGTGAGGCCCCTGGCCGGGTGGCTCAGTTATTTGGAGTGTCATCCCATCCACCAAAAAGTTTCGGCTTTGGTCCTGGGTCAGGCGTGTATGCGAGGCAACTGATTGTTCTTTCTCTCTCACGTTGATGTTTCCCCCTCTCTCTCTCTCTTCACCCCCCCACCCCCAAAAATCAATTAAAAAAAAATCCTCAGGTGAGGATTAAAAAAAAGAGGGTAAGGGGTGTGGCAGGGAATTTAAAGACCAGTTCAGAGAACAGTGTTCCTTAGTCGGGGAAGGCTGGGAGGGGAGGACAGAAAGCGGAAGTGTGGGCTAAGTCATGTAGGGCCTGTGGGTCATGGTACCACTTAGATTTACTTTGGGAATTCACAGGAATTTTTAAGCTGGGGAGTTGTGTCCGAAATTCATGGTAGTTTCTGCCCTGGGATGAGGGCAGAAGTGGGGAGAAATGAGAGCTGGCCGTTCAGAGGAAAGGAGCTGGCCGATGATCGTGCAGGGCCCCGGCGGGTACCCTTCATGTGCACACAATGCATCCCAGGGGTTGCAACTCCAGAGGGTTCTGCGGATCTTAGCAGAGTAGATCAGGTTCTAGATAATGTGAACGTTGGACCTACAGGATTTGCTGATGCGCGGGATGTGCGGTGGTACAAGATGAAAAGAAGACTCAGCAAAAATGCCTCAAAGTTTTCTGCCTGGGCTGTGATAAGAACCAAGCTGTAGCACTGTAGCCGGCTCTGCAGGGTTCTAGAATATTGACTCAGCATAAACCCAGGGCCGCAGAGTGATGTCCAGGCTGTTGGAGAAAAGTCTTAGTTTGTTTAGATCTAAATCCTAGAATCAACATAGGTAGGGCTATGCCATGTTCTTTTCCCCAGGGTCCTAAGCTCCCTTGGGTTCTCAGAAAGATCTGTGAGTGGAGATAGAGCAGCACTGAAAATGTGGAAGGTGAGGTCAAGGAAGACCTTGATGACTCAAGGGCAGCGATTTTCAACCAATGTGCCGCAAGAGGCACAAGTGTGTGCCTGCAAGAATTTTTAAAACATGCAATACCTGACTTTAGTCAGGGGCACGGCCCTCTTTTCCCTCAGATAGTCAAATAAAAAAAATGACAATAGCCAACACAACAACAATCTGGTGTGAATGAATCAAAATAATGCCCCCCCTTTTTTTGGTCAGATTGGTAAAAGATATATTTTGTGGTGCACTGCAGAATTTTAGTTATTTGTTTATGTGTACTGTGAAATGGAAGAAGTTGAAAATAGCTGGTCTGGGGAATGTTTGGTGTCATTCAATGGCCCCTGTTAGGGAAATCATTTCATTCTTAGGACTGGTTTGTTTGTGACCTTGCAGTTCCTTCCACAAGAGTTGCCGGGTGTTGGTCAACGGTGCATTCAGAGCTCCTGGTGTTCTGTGCTCTGTAACTGCTCAATTACTTTGTTTCGAGTTCTGTCCCCCTTCTGGGCACTGGCTTGCCTCTCTCTGCATTGGCAGGTTTGATGGTGAAAGTTACAAGGGTAATTAGTGCTTTGTCAATCACCTCCTGTCCTTCCTACCCGCACCCACTTGTTTTTAGTCCTCAGCCTCCTGTGGCTCCATCCCCAGCAGTAAGCCACCAAGTCATGGCTTTGAAATGCTCATTGTAGCAGATAGACCCCCAAAGATCTAATACAGGACACAGCCGCTGGTGCAACTTGCTCAAGGTCATCGCTCAGCAGTGCGGCTGGGATCAGAGGGGTCTACCGATGCTTCAGTGTGCTCTCCCCATCCAGTTCTACTCAATGGCAACCTGGCTTTGACTAATATTAACATTTGGGACGGGGAGCATTCATTTTTGGACACTGGGCTTGCCCCTTCAAGGGCCTAGTCTGTCCTTAGCTTTGGCACACAGCTTTGTGCTCCTGCCAGGATAATTGTCATTGTGTATTTGTAGCAAGTCCATTGCCAGAGCACATTTTTCAGCCTTAGGCCCTCACTCCACCTTGAGAGGTGCCTGGCTGAGGCCCATTAACAAACGGTAGCAAGTAATGGGTTTTGGCTGTTCCCAGGCCTGTGATAGCTTCAAAGAATGATAAACTCGAGCTGCAGGACTGCTTGGAGTTCAATAGGACAGCAAAGGTAAGATGTGGTCACAGCAGGGACTTGACCTTGGTGTCATTTGTCCCTGCCTCTCCCCGCCGTGTGACTTCCTGGTGCTGGGCCTCTTTCCCTACGTGATTGTTCTGTCCTGTCTGTCTAGTACGGAGTAGAAGAGATCCTTGATAAACAAGTAATCACTATATGAGAAAAGGCAACTCTATTTCCAACTGTGAATGCACACGCTGTAGAGATGCAGATAATGTCAGCCGGTCCTCCCAAGAAATGAGTAAATGCTTTTGCCAAAGGAAAAACATTATCTGCTGACAAGGCATAGATAATTATATTAAGATGTGTATAAACTTGACCCTTAATGTTAACAATAAGCTAAGGTTCATCAAAACCCTGGTTTGGTTGACTATCCTCTCTAACCTTCAGTGGATTTTTATGCTTTGCCTAACCTTACTCGATCAGTGACTCTGGTGTGTTCTCTTTGGCACTCACGTGACCTCATTCACGGTCACATTTTTATCTCTTGTTCTCTCTGAGGTTGGTCCTTCCTGTGCATTAACTTCTTGGTGTTTGTGGGAAGCACAAACTGTTCTTCTCCTCCCTACTCTCCTTTTTCTTATTCCCTCTGGGAGCCCAGACCTGCCGCCTTCTCTCCCCCACATGCACCCCTGCCCCCATCTTCCCTAGGTGCTTCTGAGCCTTGTCTCCACCCAGAACCCTCCTTCTGTGCTCACTCCATGATGTCATTTTGTTCTCCAGTTAAAGAAAGTGCAGACAATAACCACCAAGTCGAACTCGATCAGACAGGGGAAAAACCAACTTTTCCCTGTTGTCATGAATGGCAAAGAAGATGTTTTGTGGTGCACTGAGCTAGAAAGGTGAGCGAGGCTGCATGTGGAGAGGGGAACAGGGCAGACAGGAAGGGGAAGAAATGCGGTTGAGGCCCACAGCGCGAGCGGGCTTGCTCGCCTCCATTCTGCGTGGGCCCACTGACCTTCTGTGTTAGTCGGGCTGGGAGTAATACCTTTTCAGAGTTAGTCCTTATTTCCTACCAGAAATGGCAGAAGGGTGGTGGTGATGAGGAATCTGGAACATGAGGTCATGGGGCAGCACCGTCTTCCATTGGCTGCGCTGGCCTGGTGTCTGCCTGCCCCAACGTGCTGGGACTCGGGGATGTAAGCGGAAGCAGCTCAAGAAAACCCCGCTGACATGCCCTTGCTCTTTCTTAGAAGATTCCTGCCAAGTCACCCTTCTACGGCTGCTTCCTGCTTAGCCGCGGTGTGCCTTCTCGATTTCTTTGGCTAAGTTGGTAGCTTATTGATTTTGATTTAGAGAACCAGCTCTTAAATTTCAGTTCTCCTGTTCTGGTTTCAATTTTTTTTCATTCCTTTTGTTTTTCTTCTTAATTTTGTTTTTATTTTTGTTAGAATATTTTTGTTACAAACGTAAGAAGGCATATGAGTATTCCTCTCTACATTTTTTGGCTTATGTCTTGAAGGTTTTTATACAGAGTATTTTCTTCCTTCCTGGTATTTCAGCTCTACAGCTAGTTTAAGTCTTTACTAAACAGTAATTTTCTTAGTATAAAAGTTCTAATGAGGAGAAACAAACTGGGTAACCTTGCCTACTCGTGCTGTGGATTATTCTGTACAGTTGCCCCTTGAACAACACGGGTTTGAACTGTGTGGACCCACTCATACATGGATTTTTTCAATATATATATTGGAAATTTTCCTGGAGGTTTGCAACAATTGGAAAAAACTCACATGAATCATGTAGTCTGGAAAGAAATATTGAACAAATTAAGAAAAAGTTAGGTCTGCCATAAGTGAGTAAAATTTATGTAGATGCTTATGTTTTATCACTTACGACCACAGCATAAACACAGAATGACTGTTCATGGCATCAGTCAATCTTCTGGTCAACAGTGACCTACCAGCACTTATATTTTGGGGAACTCAGTTATCCTTGGATTTTCAGCTGCATAGAGGTGGGGAGTCAGCACCCCTAACCCTCGTGTTGTTCATGGGTTAAATGTATTTTGAGACTCAAGCCTAACACACTGGGCCAGACCTGTGATACGTGGGTGGTGCAGATGGCTGTCATTACGTAGACAAATTAAGACAGAGAACACTAAAGTGTTGCGACTTTGCCTATTTCTTAATACCCACTTAACACTGGCCCATTGGCGTCATTTCTGCTGTTAAGTCCAGCTCGGCTTTTGATTCAGCAACTGGGAGTGAAAGGAGAAAGAGAACGCAGGATGCTTCAGTGTCCTTATGTAAATTGCCTGAGCATCCAGTGACTGAAAATAAGCTTCGTTTTTTTGCAAGTATCTGTGTTCCTTGCAAGGACATTACCTAACTTCTCACATCTTGTGATTTGAAGACCGCTACACTGTTGTCTTCTTGCTGGCTGTCTTGGCACTCACTCGTTTGTTCATTCATTCATTCATTTGAGAAAGGTTCCCCCGAGCACCAGCTGTGTGCCAGGAGCATGGTGGCGGTGCTTGGCGGCACCTAACAGCAGGTGCCCTCATGGAGGAACCAGGCCCTCATTGGTAACACTGTGTTCGGAAGAACTGTGCACCTGACCTCTGGGGTCAAGAGAGGGCCCGTGTGCCAATGACAGCAAGGAAATGGGGTAAAACACCAACCTGTGAATCTGAGTAAAGGGCACATAAGTATTCTTTGTACTACTTTATGTTTGTCACTTTTCTATACGTTTTAAGTTAATTTCAATAAAAATTATAAGAAGTTTTATTTAAAAAGGGGGAAAATAGTGCCTTCCAAAAAAACCCCACAAAAACCTGGAGTCCCTCTACGGAGGCCTGGTGGACCCTGAGGAAGGGCAGACGGCAGTGCTGCGCTGGCCGTGGTGAGGGCTCATCCCCCAGAGGCACTAAGCAGAGGCGGCACTTCTGACTCCCTGTCTTTTTACTCTGGTGCCCCCAGGATCTTCGGCTTTCCCGTGCACTACACAGACGTGTCCAACATGGGCCGTGGGGCCCGCCAGAAGCTGCTCGGGAGGTCCTGGAGTGTGCCTGTCATCCGACACCTCTTCGCCCCCCTGAAGGACTACTTTGCCTGTGAATAGTCCCCCTGGGGCTCTGGGGTGGGGGGGGCAGAGCCAGAACCCAGGAGGTGCATCCCAGGCTCTGCCCTCCCTCAGCTCAGCTGTGTGGGGTCACACCGCGTACCTCGCCAGAGCCACCTGACACCCTCCTGGCAGGGGGAGCCCAAGGTGCCACCTTCTTGCGCACAATTCAACCTGGCTGCTTGGAGTGGCCAAACACGGTGCTCATTTTGTCTTCTCCTAAAACTTTGAAACTTGAAGTAATTAGTAAAGATGGCTTTTCCCCCCCCTCCTGGGTTTACTGCTCAGAAACAATGGCTAATATACCAAAACCACAGTGCCAACAGCTCTTCAATACTCAGGTTAAGGCTGAAAAGTCACCCGAGACAGTTACTGCAAGACTTTGCCTTCAAACGTCTGTGGCAACTTGTTTCCAGGAGTGTGCAGTGTTAGACATGTAGCAAAGGGACATTTTAAGGGGCCAGGACACTTTTTCTAGGGCAGAAGAGGAAATGATGTCTCTGTTATGCTTGAATTTTACCCAGCACATTCCCCAAGCCTCAGTATAAAGGGCTGGGATTCGCTGTTGGGGCCCACTGAGAGTTTTCCACACTAACACTGATTTCAGCAGGGATGACCTTACCACATTCAGGGCAATTTCTTCCCACAGACCCAAAGGCAAGGCCAGCCTTCGTGAAATCCCTCCCAGTGACTGCAATAGAACCCTCCTGGGAGCTCAGGAAAGGGGTGGCTTGGGTCATAAGCTGACATATTATGCAGGCAGGCATCTTGCTGTCTCTTCCATGTGTGGGGATGAACATGGGGGGCTTAGTTTAGGACCCTCCCAGGTGCACCCTCCAGACTTCTGTAGACACAGCACCTCCATATTAGAAGTATGACCCTGATTCCTCAGCCTTTCTCTAAACTCAGAAGCAGTGACTGCCAGGGCAGAAGCACAGCCCCCTCATCTTAGAGATAGCAGGGGGAAAATTGCAATAAAAGCTCAACCCTCCCTCCAGAGATTTTAAAGTCTTATTCCACAATAAATCGTTTTTTAGGAATAACAGGAGGTAGGACAAAAGCTGCATTTCAGAAATGCCATTGTAATGGTTTTTAACACCTTTTAGTCATCTTACTGGTGCTATTTTGTAGAATAAGGAGTAACTTTGACAAGTCTTGTGAGAATTTTTTAATACACTTTTTAAAAAAAAACCTGACTTCTATTTTTGTTTTACCATTTTCATAAATTTTTTTTTTTTTTGTAATCGTAGCCACGTAACAAGAATGGGGAAAAATTGTGCCTTGTTTCAACAGTTTTGCTATTTTTTTAGGCTGAAAGATGCCTGGAGTTTACTTTATGTTGAATTAAAATCAGTATTTCTCTATAACAGTCTGTGTCCCTTTTGTTCCTTTGCAGGTCAGATGGGCGGGGCATGGGCGGGCCTGGCTCCCCTGAAAAGGTGGGTGGTTGGAGTAGGTCATTTAAGTCACTCAGCAAGCATGGTGCAGAATGCCCTGGTGACACCGGGCAGGCAAGATCTAGGGCCCTGGTGTCCAAGCTCCAGTGTATCGCATTCCCTGGATGGCTTGTTCAAAGGCTTCTGGGCCCCACCTCAAGTTTTCTGGTTGAGTGTGGAGTGGAGACTCAGAATTCCATGCCTCTGGTCCAGGGGCCACAATGGGCTAGTGAATGGGTTTCTTCTAAACCTTGGTTTCCAAAATGAGTGAAGTGTCTGAGTTGATTTAAAAGCTCAATGTCTGGAACAGCCATCTCCAATTTCTTGTAGCTCTTGGGAAGCTGATCAAGATGATTCATGACTCAAGAATCACGGGGCTGATTCTCCAGTTCTTTATGCCTTTGTGATTCTCTAGCACCTTGTTTCATGGTTCTCAAGTTGGCATGTTGCAGTTAAGCCACATTCAGGAAAAGGACTTGGCCCCAGGGAAAGGACTAATCAGTAGTGGCCCCGTGATGGTAACATAGCTGCCCGCGGTCTCAGCGCTTTGGGAGGAGCATGTACCTGTCGCATCTCCTGTTACATAGTCTTAAGATTTACCTGAGATCACTTAGCCAGGTGTCCCAAGCCCCGTATGCCATAATCCTTGTGTCTTGCTGCCTCTATCTTGGTCAGGGAAAAGGAGCCCATGAAGTTTAAGTACCCCACTGGAGGCTGATGTTAGCTGGTGCGTGCAGATGGAGAAAGATGTGTAAAAGGGGGATGCACATGTAGTGTATCGATTGAGCATTAGTTGGATTTGGCACCTCTGAGCCTCTGTTTATTCATATGCAAGATAGACTTTATAGTCTATCCTAGTTAGCTGTGTGCCACAAAGTCTAGTTGGAGTGGAGAATGGGAAGCCAATTACGTTTTTAGGTGCTGCTGGGCTAGAACAGCCCAGGAGTGAGTTGCTATGGTGAGACAATTGGCAATTAGAAAGCTGGGCTGGCGCTCCTCTCTGAGGTGTTTAGACCCCCAGGGGCCTCGGCTTCCCTGTTAAGCCACCTTGTGTACAGTGCTGCACCAGATGCCAGGACAGGATGAAGCAAAATAAACGGTCCCGGCCTCAAAAACCCAAGAGAAGAGATGGAGAAGCCTTCCAGGTGAGGGGCCCTTGGTGTCCTGGTCTGCTTGTGGGGCAGACTGGGAGAGACCTGTTCTGTGAGCACCATTCTTAGGGCAGTTTTTTTTTTTTTAAGATTTTATTTATTTTTAGAGAGGAGAAGGGAGAGAGAAAGAGAGGGAGAGAAACATCAATGTGTGGTTGTCTCTTGCATGTCCCCTACTGGGGATCTGGCCTGCAAGCTAGGCATGTGCCCTGACTGGGAATCGGACCGGCCACCCTCTGGTTTGCAGGCCGGCACTCAATCCACTGAGCCACACCAGCCAGGGCAAGGGCAGTTCTTTATGTGGTTTCTCAGGATGACCAGGTTGGGGTCCGAGTGATCCCAGGCTCAGTGGCCAAGGGGAGAATGAGGAACGTTCTGCGCTAGAGGATGGGTTGTATTTTGCATCACACGTAGGCCTTTTCTGAAGCCATCTTCCAGTTGCCTGGGGCTGTGTCCAGGGTCTGGCTTGCTGCTGGGGTCACTTTGGGCACGTGACTCTTGGAGTATCTCTTTTTCTTTTTTCAAATCTCTGTAAGGTGGGGATCATACATCCTATCTGCTTCCTAGGGTTGCTGTGAGGGTTCAAGGGCATGATCTGGGTAACGTGTTTTGCCTGGTGCCTGGCATGCGACAAGTCCTCACATGCAGTGGATGGTGTTGTGATAAGGCAAGTCATTACCAAAGTGAATGACTGGGTGCCAGTGGTGATGGTAATATCCAATATTTATTTTAATGTATTAATAGTAAAGTCTTAAAAAGGAAGGAGAGGGTAGTATTCCCCTGTGTTGTATAGGAGCTGGGCTCTAGCAGCAGTGTCTGGCGTAGGGTCCATCACCACACCCTGCCCCCCTCCCCCAGGGGTTCCTTGCTCCTGTATGGGGTTGGACAAGATCTTGCCTGGGGTGCAGGGACTGGCCTCTGCACAGTTCCATAGGTCTTTGGCTGGGGGGTGGGGTCAGCACCAAACAGACAGGATCTCCCAATGGACCTAAGTTCCTACCATTTTCCTGCCAACTGCTACTTCCTGACCGATCCTCCATCCCAGGCCTCTCCTCTCTGCAGCCAGGCTGGGTGCGCATTCTGGCCTCACCCCCCGCTGACTTGTGACCTTATCTGTTCTTCATAGCCTCTGTTCCTCAGTTTACCCAACTGTAAAACAGGGATAATTATGTCAACATCTTAAGGCTGATGAATGAATTAAATGATTCAGCGTAAGTGAAGAGCATGGAAGAATGTTTTTGGGTAGTAAGTGCTGAGCAAATACACTGCTTTATTGGGACTTTTGGAGAGCCCTTCTAGCAACCCTGGACTGATGCTGTGGCCAGCATGATTATGGGTAGGAACATTGAGACTGAGGGGTCCCATAAAGAACCCAAGGCTGTGCGTGTGCAGCTAGTGGAAAAGCAGTTTGAGGTGGAATCTGTTGTGTTGAAGCCAAAGTCTATCACTGTTTCTCCTTGGTCTTATCTGCATCTGTTTCTTTATTTCATTTTTAATCTTTTTTTGTACATGGATTTTTGTTTTGCTGGAGTTCAAAATTGCTGGCTACCCTTTGCAGCCTGGGGTGCAATTTGCCTATTTTCCTGGCTTCCTTCCCTTCTTTCTTCCAGCCTACTTTCCCTCCTCCTCTCCACCCATTCTACATTTTTTCTTCCCTCCTCTTTTCTGTTTAATTTTATGGATTCCTTAAATTTATTTCATTTTATTCTTATTTTTTATTTTTATTGAATTTATTGGGATGACATTGGTTAATAAAATTACATAGGTTTCAGGTGTACAATTCTGTATCATCTGTAAATTGTACTGTGTGTTCACCACCCAAAGTCTCTTTGTCACCATTTATCCCCTCCTTCTACCTCCCCCACTTCCCCTCAGGCATCACCATACTGTTGTCTGTGTCTATGAGGCTTCTTTCATTTTTTTGCTTAATCCCTTCACCTTTTCTTCTTAATCCTTACCCAAATACATCTTTTCATTGCTTTTAGAGAGGAATGGGGGAGGGAGGGAGGGAGAGAGAGAGAGAGAGAGAAACGTTGACAGGTTGCCTCCTGTATTTGTCCCAACTGGGGATCAAACCCTCAACCTATATATGTGCCTTGACCAGGAATCAAACCCACATCCTTTCATTGTGCAGGACAGTGCTCCGACCAACTGAGCCACGCTGACCAGGGCAATCCCTTCGCCTTTTTCGCCCAGCCCCCGAGCCCCCCTCCCTCTAATAGCTGTCAGCCTGTTTTCTGTATCTCTGAGTCTGTTTCCATTTTGTTTAATTTGTTCATTAGATTCCACATGTAGGTGAACTCATATGGTATTGGTCTTTCTCTGACCAGCTCATTTCACTTAGCGTGTTACTTTCCTGGTCCATTCATGCTGTTGCAAAAAGTAACATTTCCTTCTTTTTCACAGCTGAGTAGTGTTCCATTGTGTAAATGTACCACACCTTTTAATCCACTTCTCTACGGACTGCTTTCAAATCTTGGCTATTGTAAATGACACTACAGTGAACATAGGGGTCCATAGATTCTTTTGAATTAGTGTTTCAGGCTTCTTTGGAAATATTCCCAGAAGTGGAATCACTGGGTCCTAAGGCAGTTGCATTTTTAATTTTTTTGAGGAAACTCCATACTGGTTTCCACAGTGGCTGCACCAATTTGCACTCCTGCTAACAGTGCCCTAGGGTCCCCTTTTCTCCACATCCTCGCCTGTGCTTGTTGTTTGTGGATTTACTTATTTTTATTTTAATTTTTTAAAAATAATTTTTATTAATTTATCTTTTAGAAGGGAAGGGAAAGAGAGAGGGAGAGAAATATCAATGTATGGTTGCTTTTCGTGCATCCCCTGCTGGGAACTGGCCTGCAACCCAAGCATGTGCCCTGACTGGGAATCGAACCACAATCCTTTGGTTCACAGGGCATGTGCTCAATCCACTGAGCTACACCAGCCAGGGCTATTTGTTGATTTATTGATGATGGCCGTTCTGGCAAGTGTGAGGTGTTATCTCATTGTGGTTTTAGTTTGCGTTTCTCTGATGATTAGTGACATAGAGCATCTTTTCATGCCTACTGGCCATCTGTATGTCCTCTTAGGAGAAGCATCTATTTAGGTTCTTTGCCTATTTTTAAATTAGATTGTTTATTTTTTCCGTGTTGTGTGAGTTCTTAAAAATTTTTGGATATTACTTTCTTATCAGATGTATCATTGGCAAATATACATTCAGTAGGTTGTCTTTTCATTTTGTTGATGGTTTCTCCTGCTGTGCAAAACTTTTTTAGTTTGATGTAGTCCCATTTGAGAGGATGACAAAACAAATGTGGCCAAATGTTAACATCGGAGGAATTTAGGTGATGGGTATTTTTTTCTGAACCATTTGAGATTACAAGACCTTCATTGTGTATTTCCCAATGAACAGACCACTGTTTTACATAACTATAGTACATTTATCGCAATCAGGTAATGCATTCATTTACTTTTTTATCTAGTCTACATGCCTTATTTATGTTTTTCCATTTGCTCCAGTAATGCCTTGATGGAGGAAGAGAAATAAATAATAAATGTAATAAATAAATAAACATTTTGACCAGTATCTATTCCAGAATCATGCACTGTACCTGGTTATTTTTTATTTTTAAAACTTTTGATTAATTGTGCCCTGGCCGGTGTGGCTCAGTGGATTGAGTGCTGGCCTG